AAGAATTTCATTTTACTCGGATCTACCATCAGTGCCCCTGGAAGCAGCAGTCAAGAAATCAAAGGGTGTATTATTGCATTGGGCAAATCTGTTGCAAAAGCCCTCTTAATAAAAAGATGTCACTTTGAGGATTAAGGTGAGCCTGACCCAATCCATGGTGTATTTGGTCACTTCACATGCATGCAGACACTGGGCAATAACCATGCAAGTCCAAAACACGAGGCCTTTAAATTGTGGTGTTGGGGAAGAATGTTGACTATCCCATGGATTGTGAGAAGAACGCATAAAAATGGATCTTGGAAGAAGTGTAGTCAGTATGCTCCTTAGAAACCAGGATGGCCAAACTTTGTCTCATGTACACTGAACATGTTGTCAGGAGGGAGCAGTCGCTGAAGAAGGACATCAGGCTCGGTCAAGTAGAGGGTCAGCGAAAATAACGAAGACCCTCAACTAGAGCTCTGGCCGCCATGGCTGCAGCAGCAGACGCAAACGTAGACACAGTGCAGAGCCAGGTGGTGTTTTGTTCTGTTGTCGGGACAGACTTGATAGCACCTAACAACAGGTATCCAAATATTTGTCATTTCAACACCTTTGCCTTTGCAGTTCAGTGGTATGAACTGTGTCCACCAGGTTGTGTAAGCAGCCCCACTGTTCTCTCCTAAGTCTCTCGCCCCCACCCCACCCCTTCATGGATGCTCGGTGCCTCTAAGCACTGACTCCTTTGCCTCCCTTTCGCCTCTGGTCACCCAGCATCTGCCTGTTGTCGGCATTTCGTATAAGTGGGATCATAGCGTATTTTATTCGTTCGTGACTGACTTTAGCTCAAAGGAGTGTTGTCAGGTAGTTGGGTGTCATGGTATGTGTCAGTGTTGTTTGTGAATCCACCTGCTTGTTTGGGTAGCGGTCACTTGGGGCTCCCTGTGAATTCTAAAAATAGATCCCAAATCTCTCCGAGGAGACAGAGGCCCAGCCGAGTTTTAATATTCTTCAGCAGTAGAATTTCCTTCCCAAAGGTATCAAACTCATGGATCCGCCCCCTCTCTCCTCTGCTCAGGAAACTACCGTGGCTTTTCACTGGTGAATTCTTGTTTCATCTGCCTTCCCATGGGGTTCCTGGCTGGGTGAGCACTGGACGGCTGTTCGAACCCACCAGCAGCTCCTCAGAAACCCTTTACAGGGTCACTGTGAGGCAGAACCACCTGGACGGCACTTGGCAGCAACAGCCCATCAAAGACTCAGAAGCCAGGGAGAAGTGACTTCTGAAAGTCTGCGCTTTATGACTGAATCATATTGCTTTGCCCTCCCCCCCCATCTCCTAACGCTGCTGTAGCAGAAATTCCTCAGGAGGCTGGCTTTCATGAGCACAAGTTTATTTTCTCACAGTTTTGGAGGCCCAAAGTCCAGATTTGGGGTGTCATCTTTGAGTCGGGATCCATCTCTCCTCCCTCATGTCTGATTGCCTACATGCTTGATATCTCAAAAGAGGTGGCCTCGTTAACATAGCAGATGAAAACCCATTCGCAAATGAAATTGTGACCATAGATGTTGAGGTTAGGGGGACACAGTTCCATGGATAATCTGCATGTCCGCCCCCCTGTTGCTGTTACTAATACAGGCCAGTAGTCACATAAGCTGGCAGAGTCTTTGCCCATATTCTACATAAGCACACTAAGCTTATGGGTAAGTGCAGAGCTTTGGAAAATTGGGCTCAACTTGAGCAGCGACCATAGGTCTGACCTGTGACCTGGTCAGATTTGAGTTGGGTAAACCATTAGCTTCTGGAGCCAGGGTATAGGGCAGGGGGGTCACAGTGGGTGGCTTCACCCCCTGAGCCTTGAACTTTACAAAGCCATGTGAACACACTTTATAAACTGGGGCCGCTGAGCAAATGGTGGTCGGTGGTGGTGCTGGCCCTTCCCAGTGACCCCATGTGCAGAGGGAGGAAACACTGCCCCCTGGTCCTGTGCCATCCCCATCAGCAGTCGGGGGGTCAGACCATTGTCATCTTTAGGGTTTCCCTAAGTGGACCACCAGGTCATTCATCCTAGGTCTTTTGGTCTGGAAGTTCTGCTGAAGCCTGTCCACCATGGGTGACCTTGCTAGTGTTTGAAATCTCGCTGCCCCGGCTTTCAGCGCTCTGTTGGAAACATGTGCTCCTGTTTTTGAAGTAGGGCACCAGGTCATTCTTCCTGCTCCATCTTAGACCGGAAACTCCACTGAAATCTGTTGAGCGTCACAGCAACACTCCAGCCTCCATGGACATAGGGATGCTGGCTGGGGTTGAACCTTGGTCTCACACATGGAAGGCGACAATCCTTCCACACTGCCATTGACTGCATTTCCTGGCCGGGCCTTGTTGTGCCCACCAGACCCCTTTTCTGAGTGATTCAGACCTAGGACGGAGCTCAGGGCCTAAGTTGGTTTGTGACTTAGTTTGCCTCCGCGCCGTGTGTCACAAGGGGGGGTCTGTGGTCCTGAGAGAGGCGGCTAGGGGGGCCGGGGGACACTCTCATTGGGTTGGGGTTCACAGCGAAACGTTCGCACACTAAGCTTATGGGTGCAAACACACTTAATCCATCTGTCCTTTGGAAATGGCCTAACAGCACGTGAGCTACCTAAAAACACTGTTTGTTTCTGTTCCCTGGCTCTCTGGCTCGCCATCCAGACGTTAGAGGCACACGCGGTGCGTGCCTGTTGGGGGAAAGGGATGGTTTAAAGGTCTGTAAATATGTAATCTGTGAAGTAATAGTAGGCTAGTGGAGCAAGGCCTGAAGGCTTCCAGATGGACTAACTCAGTGAGATTAATAACCTTCGGAGCATGCTACTCTTCTTATTGAAGAGAAAGAAAAATAACTTCAGTTCTCTGAGTTTGCTGGGGTCAGAAATCCAGGAGAACAGCTTACATCTTTTGTAACAAAACTTTTGTGTCCAATGAATGTCAACAGGAATTGCAGCATGTAGAGTATTTTTTAAAAAAGAAGGTTTTATGGTTTGTTAGAAAGAAGGAAGGAAGGAAGGAAAGGATATTCAACTCTAGATTTAAATCATTCATTTACTGGAAAAATGTTTTTTGTTTTTTTTTTTCTAACGCCACACTTTAATGTTACTAATACGGGATTGGACTCCTGGTATGACTCTGTAGGATCAGCACAAGATTGGAAGTTCAAAGCCACCAGCTGTCCTCGGAAACCCTATACAGAGCTGCTATAAGTCAGAACTGACCCTGTGGCACTCAACAACTTAACAATATGGGACTACTGAAAATTGGAGTGGAGAGAAAGGTTTTATTCTGTTGCTTCTGTTAAAGGCGTTATGTGATTAACCCTGTGGTTTCCATTGTAGCAAGGGGGGGGGGTTGGTTAACCACCTCAGCGATTTTTCAGCCCCTACTAATTGGGTTCTAGTTGCAATGGCAATTACAAGTGAAAGAACCTGGGGGCTGTGAATGGTTAGCAGGTTCCACCAGAAATGGACAGGTTGGCAGTTAGAACCCACCCAGAGGTATATCGGAAGACTAGCCTGGCTGATGACAATCTTTGAAAACCTTAAGGTACACAGTTGTACTCTGACACACAAGGCCGCCATGAGTTGGAATTGACACCATGGCAACCTTTCTTTTTTTACACATCAGCAGTGAGTCTGATCGTTGTCTGCCTTGCTTACCACTCACACTGCCACATCTTCCCAGTTCCTCGTCTGTAGAGTAGGAGCAGAAACCCACACGGCAAATAAGATTGCGCATCAGTTCTGTATGAGACGCGTCCTGGTGAGCGTGACCTGGAGGGTGATCGTCTGTGGAAGAAAACGGCGTAGGCCTGTTGAGTGCAGGCCCTGGAGCCTGCACAGAGCAGGTGCCAGATGGAGGGCACCACGCTGACCTGTGCACAGCCGCCTGAAGCCACTGCCATCGGGCGTAGTGTGGAGCTCCGCATGTACACTGGCATCAGGGAAGCTCCGTTTCCTCAGCTCCTGTGGCAGCAGCTTCTCTCACATTCCCCTGGGCCACTGATGGGGACCCCACCCCACTCACCTTCCTGAACCTCGCCTCTTTAAAATGCAAGTGGGAGGGCCGTGTTTGTCACTGGTGTGGGTTCTCCCAGCATGCTCCGTGCACCGTTGGGGTGCAGCCATCCTTCCTGTCATGCAGCTCACTGCGGGAGGGTGGGGCATGGGGGAGGAGAGGCCCACACAGCACCTTGTTGCACACCTGAGTGGGTCCTGTGAGCGAAGTGAGGTGGGGACAGAGATCAGTGAGGGACTGAGTCCTTCAGGCTGACGTACTGGGAGCTGAGAGGTGCAGGGTCCAAGCATGAAACGGGCCTCTGGTTTGGGGAGCGACTCAGGGCAGGCTGGGAGTGGATGGAACGGGGATATGCATGCCTGTGTCTAAATGTTTGAGTGGGTGTGGGGAGTCCATGTGTGGACATGGATGGGTGGGGGCCTCTCTGGAAGCCACGTAGGGGCCTCTGTAGTCATCCTTGCAGGAGACAGTGGTGGTGAGGGATGTATGTGCGGAAGGACCTGGGTAGTGGGCTAGGCCTCAGCAGTGCAGCCGGGGGCCCAGGCTGGGAGGAAGCAGCTTGGTCGAGGATAGTGTCTGTGAGCAATTAAGTTCTCAGGAGCCCCTTCATGAGGGCAGGGCCGCCTTGACTGGAAGTGGGAAGCATGGCATTTCCGGAACCGGACAGAGCATCTGAAAACCAGACAATCACTGCAAAAAAAGGTGGCGGTCATAGCCAGATGTCCTGTGCCACGAGCCATCCTTAGGGGAGCACGTGGGAACCCCTGAGCTCTGTGATCCGCAGGTCTGGACAGGGGTGTGAAGACGAGTTGGCACCAGCTTCGGGAAGGGGCTTCAGGTGTTCAATGGGAACGTGTGGACGTGGATAAAGGAGAAAGGCCGGGGGTCACAGTTGGCACCAAGTCCACATAAATGGGGCTGTGGGGGGCGGCGGCTCAGCCTTGGGAGGCGATTCCCAGACCACACTCAGTCCTGTCTAATGGCTGCTTTTTCCTCTTTACCAGTGCTTACGCCTCCTGCACCACCACCCCCCATCCAAGGATATGCCTTCAAGCCTCCACCAAGACCCGACTTCGGGACCTCTGGGAGAACAATCAAATTACAGGCCAATTTCTTTGAAATGGACATTCCAAAAATCGACATCTACCATTACGAATTGGATATCAAGCCAGAGAAATGCCCACGAAGAGTTAACAGGTATTCCGCCGCATCCTTTATTCATGCTGTCGTTTGCATAGGTATTCTGGCAGTAAAAATACCATGCTGTTCTTCACTTCTCAGTGGGTCCTTCTCGCATTTTCCTGGAAAGTTTCAGCTCTGTGTGTGTGTGTGTGTTGTTGTTGCTGTGAAGTGCTGTAGAGTCGATTCCGAGGCTTTAAATCTTTGAGGGAGCTTTTTACATTTCTCCCACATCTGTGCGTCTGTACACATATGCACCTGTATTTTAAATGTTTTTATGAATTGTACGTATCATAAGTGTACAATACAGTGAATCTTGCCAAATATATAAGTCAGAAAAGTATTTCCAGCTCATACATACACATATTTGTCCCAAACATGTCTAAACGTGTTCTAAACATGACTCTGCATTCAGTGGAGGACCACAAACAAGTTCTCTCAGTAATACAATTGTCTTAGTCTCGTTGTTGTTGTTAAGTACCGTGGAGTCGGTTCTGACTCATAGTGACCCTGTACAGGGTTTCCGAGGCTGCAAATCTTTATGGGAACAGAAAGCCTCATCTTTCTCCCGCGGAACAGCTGGTAGTTTCGAACTGCCGACTTTGGGGTTAGCAGCCCGATTTGTAACCTCTATGTTACCAGAGCTCCTTTTTTGTCCCGTTAGGGTGACTTAAAAAAAACAACACAGGTGTGATAAAAACAGTGGCTTCTGAGTCAGTTCTGCTAGGCCAGTTAAATTCAGGGCAGAGAAACATCTCAGAAGGTTTTGGCAACTGATTTTTGAGATTCCAAAGGGGTCATCTTGGTAGATTTTGGATCATTGGAGAATTATTAAGAAAAATTGTCGAGAAAATTGAAAACTGCAATAACCAGAGACAGGCCAGGAAGTTGTGACGGAATTTTTTTTTCCATAACAAAAACACACCTATTCATGGTTCCTACGAAGATTTTTATTATTATCCCTTATTCCACACATCTTACAACCCTGTTCTTTCCCTTTCAGACTTCTTTGTGTTCCCCAAACTCAACTTTTTAGTTTGAAGTTTTTATTGTAAATTGAGTGATATAGTTTACATGGGAAAACATCGCTTTTACACTTATCCTATCGTATTTCATTTCATTGCAATGATTACAGTCCCCTCCATGCATCATCATTCAACAGTGTTTCCTTCTACTCCCTCAGTTTTGTTTTGTTTTAATGTACACAAAAACAGTGAGAAATATATAATCATTTAAACAACCAAATGGTACATTCTAGAAGCCTGCCTCTTGACCGCCAGCACAAAGCCTTTCTCTTTCCCTGAGTCTAGAGTCCTCAGCTGCTCCCTCTCTCCATGCCCTCATCTCTGCCTCCATCTCTGGTGTCGCTGCTGCTCTGGATAGTGTATCACATTCCATTTGTGCTCTTCTCCCGTAATCAAAGAACATTTTAAAGGAACGTGATTTGATCCCATGGGGACTCCCAAACTGCCATTTGACATTGTGTGCATCATCAAAGAGCCCAAATATCTTCAAGGAAGGGTTGTTGTTGTTAGGTGCCATCTAGTTGGTCCTGACCCATAGTGACCTTATGCACAGCAGAACAAAACACTGCCCAATCCTGGGCCAACCTCACGACTGTTGCCACGCTTGAGTCCATCGATGCTGCCACTTGGCCAATCCATCTCACTGGGGGTCTTCCTCTTTTTCTCTGACCCTCCACCTTAACCAAACATGATATCCTTCTCCAGTGACTGGTCCCTCCTGACAATATGCCCGGTTTAGAGAGGGGGAAACCCCTCCTTCTCATTTTGAGATTTTTATTCTGTTCCAGTCTGAGAGCTTGTGTGACAGTACTTGTGACTTACCTTCATATCTTGGTGCCACCTCAGAAATTTGCCTCATGCCCTCTTCTGGTCAGTCCCTACCCCCAAAAGTCAAAACAGTATTCTAATTGTGAAACCATAGAATTGATTTCCCTGTTCGTGTGAATGGGGACTCTTCAGCATATGAGACAGTATTCTCTTGAGCCCGGATTCTTTAACTCAGCATACGATTTCTGAGCTCCATCTGTATCCTTTATGGGTACTCTTCTCATCGCCAAGGAGTATCTTATTGTGGGAACGTTCCACCGTTCACTGATCCACCTTTCTGTCAGACGCTGGGGTGGGCTACACTTTGACCACTGTGAATTAGGCGGTTGTGGACAATCTCACACACATGTTTTCATTTCTTTTGGGGAAACACCTGAGTGGACTGGCTGAGCTCCAGAGTTAACACGTATGCCGAAATTGCCGTCATGAACTTCTGAGCACTGCGGTCACCCGGTCTGCAGCGTTTCATCTGTTGAGGTTGACCACTGTGGTGGCTGTTGAGTGATTTCTCATTGTGTTCTCAATCATCATTTCCATGACGAGTACACCAAAGCCCGCCCCGCCCCCGCCTCCCCCCCCCACGTGCTTAGAGGCCACTCATACATATTTTTAATGCATTGTCTGTTGAAGCCTCTTGCCTGCTTTTTTGTTGGGATATTTCTATTTTTGGTATTGATTTGAAGGAGTTTTTAAATCTATTCTGTATGCAAGTCTTTACTGAGCATTTTCTTCTCCCAGTCTAGGCTTATCAGTTCATATTCTTAATGGTGTCTTTTAATGACTAGAATGTCTAAATGTTGTAGAAATCCAATGTACCGGTTTTCAAGAAATGGTTCTTACCTTGTGTGTCAGCTCTAAGACTTTTTTTTGCCCGCCCCTAGGTTGTAAAACTATTCTCTGATAGGTTCTCTGGAAGAACCATTGTTTTGGCTTATGTGCATAATTCATCCTGAATTGATTTTTGTATACAGTATGAGGTAAAGGTCTATTGGAAAGATTTTCCATTCCACGCTGATTTACCTTGGCACTTTGTGAAAACATCCATTGATTGTCTATCTGCTGCTCTATTTCTGGATTCTCTCCTCTGGTCTGGTGACCTATTTGTCTGCCTTTAGGCCAGTGACTCACCGTCTTGGTTGCTATAATTTAGATGTTTTGTAGTGTTTTAAAGGCTTGAAATCAGATAAAACAAGTCCTCAAAAGTTTGTAGTTCCTCATAATAGTTGTAGCTGTTCTAGGTCCTAAATAAATGACAAAAATAGAGCATCCATGTGTCTGTCTTTGCCCGGGAGCTTCTTGGAATTTTGTATCTGGTTTGCTCTGCATCCCTGAGCAATTTGGGAATCGTTGCTCCTCTTTCTTGAACATGGTCCATGTCTGCATTTATGTCAGTCTCTGGAGTCTCCCTCAGCAGCTTGGGTCCTCTTCAGTGTAGGTGGTCTCCACTGCTTTTTCCTTAAGCATGTTGTGTGGTTTGATAGGTGGGTTGGGAGTGACCACTAATGGATATGGGATGGAGTTCGTGTGTCTCAGTGTCAGACACTACGAAGGCTGCACAGCTCCGAGTTCACTAAAGCTCTTGAATTGTACGCTCCTAATGGGTGAATTCTCCACACTCCATGAAGATGGTCACTTTATTTCTTTATCCCATTTACCTCTGATTTTTGGTATACTGACCTCATGACCTGTGCTCTTGCTGACCTCTCCTTCCGCTGGAACACTTGTTTTCTCATGAAGGGGCTTCAAAAAGTTCCTGAGAAAATTCTGCTACCTTTTAATTATCCATTTTTCCACAAACTTTTTGCAGCCTCTTTGTTGATGCTTTAGGATTTTCTTTGTAAGCAATTATATATAGTGTGTGTGTAAAAATGGTTCTGATAATTATTTTTTTCCAGCTTTTGTTTTTTTATTTTTTTTACTTGCCTTCTCAAGATGGTCTGGAAATCCACTACTGCATGTTGAGTAGAAGAAGTGGGGAAGACATATGTCCTTAGCTCGCTAGCAGTCTTAGGCTGACACATAAGGTCCTTCCTCTACAGGCTAAGCTAACAAACAGCTAAAGGGATTTTGTCAAGATTTATCGGCACAAGGAAGTTCTCTTCCTCATTTGCGAGAACACCATCATCACCGGGTGTTGAATTTTGGCAAATGCTTTTGCTGCATCTGCTGAGGCAATCATATGATTTCCACCCACCCCACCCCCATTAATGCGATGAAGGGTCCCACAATAGCTCTGTAGGATGAGTAGTGGGTATGAACCACAAAGATAGTGGTTCCAGCCCACCAGCTGCTCAGCAGGAGAAAGATGAGGCTTTCTGCTCCCTCAAAGACATACAACCTCAGAATCCCTATACAAGATCGCTGTACGTCAGAACTGACTCGATGACACTTAATAACAATATGATTCATTAGATTGACTTTGTTTCAGATGTCAAATACGACCCTTGCATTTCTGATAGAACCCTGTTTAGTCTTGATGTGGCTTTTAGTTTTCTAACCGAATTTAACTTGTTAGAGCTTTGCTATGATTTTTTTTTTATTATTATTCTGTAATTTTCTTGTCAGGTTTTTGTTTTGTTTTGTTTTTTAGTTTATTACAAAAGTTGTTTTTTTTAACTGTAAGATAATATGTAACAAAACATTTCCACAATTCTTCTTTTCTTGTTAAATTTTCCCATCAGGTTTTTGTGGTGCCACAGAGCAAACAGCTGGAAGGTGTCCCCTCCTCTCTGTACACTGAGTTTGTGTGTGATGGGTGTGATTTCTTTTGAATCCACTGAAGCCGGAGTTTTCTTCGAAGGGAACGTTTCTGTCCCATTGCATTTCTTTAACAGACACCAGGCTCTTTAAAGTGTTCCGCTGTTGCCTTTGCTGGTCCACATCGTCCATGTTTCTGGGCATAAATGTGTCCGTGGTATTTGTTAAATGTCTGTAAGACCTGTAGTGAAAATTTTTTTTCTCTCTTTTTAGAATTCTTGATTTTATTTTGTTATATTCGTCTTTTCACAGAACCCGAGTTTTACTTTGTGAATCCTCTTATTTGTTTGTTTTTTCCTCTCTGCTCTGATCTTTATAATTTCCTTCCTTCCATTCACTTTAAGGAGCTCTGGTAGCCTAGAGGGTTGGGTTGCTCACTGCAAGGCCATCAGTTTGAGTCTGTCAGCTTCTCCTCCAGACAAAGAGAGGAGGCTTTCTGCTTCCTAAAGGCTTATGGCCTCAGAAACCGACTCTACGGTGTGTAACCACCCTGACCACCACTCACCTTGGGTCTGGATCATTGATTGAGAACCCATCTTCTTTTCTAATATAATTATTTCAGGCTCTAAATAGCCCTTAAAGCAATCTTTTAGTGGGAACTCGTACATGTTGATACACTGTGTTTACATTTTCATTCAGTTCACAATATTTCCTCACTTCCCCTGTGATTTCTGTTACCAGTGGATCATTTAGGAGTCTGGTGTTCAATTTCTAGGAGCCCCGGTGACACAGTGGCCAAACACTTGGCTGCTAACCAGTTGAAAAGTTGGCACTTGGAAAGTACCCATCACGGCATGGGAGAAGGATAGGGCAGTGTATTTCCATAAAGATTTCCAGCCTCGGGAACCCTACTCGGCAGTCTGGCTCTGTCCCAGAGAGGCTTTGTGAGTCAGAATTGGCTCAGCGTCATTGGGCTTGGTTTGTTCAATTTTTATTTGTTTTGGGTTTTGTTTTGTTTTTAATGCTTTATTATTGATTGCTAAGTTAATACCTTTATGGTTAGAGAACATGCCCTGTAAGATATCAGCCTCTTGAAATTCACTATTATTTATTTTATGACTAAACAGTAGCTTATCTGGGTGACTATTCCCCATGTGCCTGAAAAGACTGTACGTGAGGGTTTACATGTTATTCTGTAAATGTTCATTGGACTGAGTGCTTGATAGTGTGTTCTCTATGTCCTTCCAGAATATTTTTACCTATATTTATTGGGGCTTTGTTTTTTTCTCTCTCCAATACTGGTTTTGCGTCACGTGCTGTAAAGCTGTTCTTAAGTATGTTGTTAAGTGCCAATTCATAGCGGACCCTGCATAACGTTGCCCATGAGCGGCTGGTAAGTTTGGACCACCGACTTTGTGCAGAACACACACCAGGAGCAAAGCATTGGCACAAGTGAGCTCTCCATGAACAGGAAGGTGTGTTTGTTTCTGTAGTAGTAATTTGGTCTCTGTGTTGTTGTTGTTGCGAATACAACAGGGGCTTCAAAAAGTTCTTGAAGAAATTCCAGGATCTTCATGTTCCCATTTTCTATGGACTCTTTGAAGCCTTCTTGTATGTACCGCAGAACACGCACCAATTCCATGGTTTGCACACGTATAGTTCAGCAACACTGGCTCTTACAGTTGCGCGCCCCACCAGCCCTCCGTCTCCAAATTGATCCTCCCCCCGTGAACATGAGCTCACTGCCTCTGAAGGTTCCTGTAGAACCTCCCCAGGTGGTATTTTCAGCCTCCCCCCCACCCCGCATATATTGTTAAGTGCCGTTGAGTCAGTTCTGACTTACAGCCACCCTGTATAGAGTTTCTGAGGTGCCTTTTTTTTAAATCTTTAACGGAAGCAGACAGCCTCATCTTTCTTCTGCAGAACCGCTGGTGAGTTTGAACCACTGGCCTTGTGGTTAGCCATCCCGTGCTCAACTGATAGTATCCATCAGAACTCCTTCTCCCAATCTGATGTCTCTTAAAAGAGGGCAGCACTCCGGGCAGACACACTCCATGAATTAGGCCAGAACCATCTGTGTGGACTTGTGCTCTAGAACATCCTCCAAGGACTGAACTGAAAGCTTGCAGAAGCTAGCTCAGTTTGAGGCTTTGGATCGGGCTGGTCTGCCATCCTTTAGAGGGTACGGAAGCTGCCTTCTGTGAAAGTCACTGGTACCGATGTGAGGCTCAGACCAAAGCAAGCCAGGTCCACTGCTGTCCAGTCACCTCATAGGACTGAGCAGAACGGCTGCAGGCGGTTCCCGAGACTGTAAGTCCTCACCCCTGTGGACAGTCTAGACTCTCACCCTTGGCTCCAAGGGGACCCACTACACCACCAGTTCTGCTCAGAAGCGCTGGATTGGCCACACAAGGGGCTGTGGAGCTCAGCTTTCCTCCTCGGTCCCCTAAAGCTTGTCAGACACATGACCCCAGGAGAGCCCTGCAGAAGTGGCCATTTTGTGCTGCCCCAACTGGGGAGCTTTCTCTGCAGAGCCTCCTTAGTCCAGAAAAAGGACCTCACACCTGAAATTGGAGGCCTGGCCATGCAGTGGTACTGGACTTAGACTTGAGTGATGGCCAGTGCCTCTTTCACAGTCGTAGTTCAGATCTACCCAGAGGTGCCTCAGAAGAAATGCCTGGCAATCTTCTGAAAACACAGTGGAGAACAGTTCTCTGACCCACAAGAGGCGCCAGGTGTTAAGAGTCACCTCCGTGCCAGTTGGTTCCTGTTCCCCTTCAGAAACATTGGGGGACGATGGGATAAATGGGTACTGTTGTCTAGAGTCTGCTCATCATATCTGACCCAACACAAGATATAGGGATGTCCACCCCCTATTAAGGGGAGCAATGAGGGGGTACCAACATACCCTGCAGTGATTGAAGCCTGTCGGTACATTGTGCTTGCTCTGTAATGTGGAGGACAAGCAAAATCATTCTAAGTTGAAAATATTCCTTCTCTGACAAGTATTTCCTAAGGAAATGTTGAGGCATTTTCTAATCATTCTTCTTGCTTTTGTTAAGTGCTGTCAAATCTGTGCCAACTCATAGTGACCCTGTGTAGGGTTTCTGGTGTTTTTGACCGCTGACCTTGATCAGTAGTCCAGTGCTTATCCTATAGCACCACATTCTAGAGTAATAATGTTTTCTTTCCCTAGAATCTGCCTATTTTCAAACCTGTAGGTTAGGTTAGAATAAAAAGTGGTTTTTGTATCCTAACAGTTCAAACCCACCAGCCACTCCTCGGAAGCTCTATGCAGGGTCGCTATGAGTGGGAACCAACTCAATGGCACTTAATAACAACAACAGCAAATAGTTCAAACCCACCTACCACTCCTCGGAAGCCCTATATGGGGTTGGTACCAACTCGATGTAACTTAACAACAGAAAGTTGGGGAGCTGAAGGGAGACCATCCATGTTAGAAGGAAACTTTAGGATAGCAGCAACAACTGTGAGAAGAAATGGGCTGCTCGTGGCTGGTGAGCGCCGCCCCGTATCCCAGTCCAGTAATCTGTCAGGGTAGGAAGAGAAAACTAGAAGAACAAGTTCCATAGAAGTAAAAGCCAACCAACCCCGTGACCACGGAGTGGATCTTGACTCCAGCAGCCTGTAAGGCAGAGCAGAGCTGCCCAGTGGGGTTTCCATGGCGGTCATTGGCGTCTTTCTCCCACAGAGCGGCTGATAGGTTCCAACCACCAACCCTTCGGTTAGCAGTCTTGCTTTAACCACAGAACCACCAGGGTTCCATTGCACAGAAGGAAAGACAACATCAGTTTGCTGCCTGCCACTCACTAACTGTGTGACTGGGGTGCCCGTGGGAGCCTCAGCTGTACAGATTTAGAAGGTGGTTTGGTGTCTTTTAAAACAAAAGCACTGCATTTTTACTGAACTCAACCGTCCTAAGGATTCATCACAAAGAAATTCTTGTGAATGTGCTCATGAGATAGGCGTAAGGACCCCAAACCAAAACCAACTTCCATTGAGTCGATTCTGACACATAGCCACCCTGTCTGTGTGTGGTTTCCGAAGCTGTCAGTGTCTATGGGATCAGAAAGCCTCATCGGTCTCCCACAGAGCCGCAGGTGGGTTTGAACTGCTAACCTTTTGGCATGCAGTCCAGCGCCTCCCTATCCTGCAGAGCCAACAGGGCTCCTGGGTGTGGGAACATTTACTGTAATCTATAACAGACAAATACCACGGAGCCACCCATCTATCAGTAGGTAAGAAAGGGTTCAGAAAACAATGGGGTGTCGTACTGGGGAATCCTGTGGGACTGTTCTTGACCCTGAGGTGGATCTGCACTGTTCCACCCCCAGTCTGGAAGCATAGGTGGCCAGATTGTGTGTGGTTTATTACTGGATAAAACAGGCCCGTATTTCTAAGCTTTATGGCCGCTCAGTGTGTCTCAAAGGTGGTGAGAAGACAGCCACCCTCAGAACTGTGCTCCTGACCCCTGGATTCCAACAGAGGGAGTCGGGCTGTTTCCTCCTCCCTGTGCTTCTGAGGGTGCACAGGTTTGAGATGACCTTGACTTTGGAGGCAGGATCTGAGATGCCGAATGGTCTCAGCAGACTTTTCACTGATCAGTAGTTGAAACGGATGGTGAAAATGTATCTGTGCCAAAGCTGTGTAACTAGAAATTAATGAAGGAGGAATTTTTTTCAAGGCAGAGCTCCTCCCCAGCAGGCTTAGCCAAGGGGCAGATGGGCTCGAGGGAGCTGTGTTCTGGTCCTGAAGGCAGTTTGTGCGCCTGGGAAGAACTGTGACCATTCATAACCCTTGCCAATTTCCCATCACTACAAACAGCGACACATTGCTTTTTCCTGTTTGACGCGGAAGATGTTTGCTAGTCATGGCACTAAAATGCCACATTGTGGGTAACTGCCTTTGAGTCAGTACTGACTCATAGCGACCCTGTGTAGGGTTTCCGAGGAATGGCTGGTGGGCTTGGACTGCCAACCTTGTGGTTAGCAGTACAGCGCTTATCCTGCATAACACTGCTGAAGAAAATGTCAGAAAAAGTGTCAGCCTCACATGCGGTGTCCGTGATCCTACTAACTTGTTGCCTGAATTGTTTGTTTCAGGGAAATAGTGGAACATATGGTTCAGCACTTTAAAACGCAGATCTTCGGGGATCGGAAGCCAGTGTTTGATGGAAGAAAGAATCTGTACACAGCAATGCCCCTTCCGATCGGGAGGGATAAGGTGAGTCCATGAGAACGACATGCCAGGGAGCAAAATCCAGGCATTAGTCCTCGTGTCACATCTAGAAGGGAGGAGCCACTGATTGGCTCTGTGCCTGGCACGGAAGTCCAGGAAATCCACCTTTCCCTGGGTTGTGGTTTTTAAGAATAGAGGGCTGGCTTGTCCAAGCCCAAGACGAGCAGTTTAGAAGATCCAGAGCCATCCGACGTTGCGTTTAGAACATGTGTGCGCGCACTGCACACAGTGACAAGCACAGCCACCAGACTGGAACCAAAGGGTAAAGCTGCAGAATGGTACTGTCCTGCAGCAAAGGGTGCGTGTAGACACAGGGGTGTGTGTGTATGTGTGTGTGAGAGAGACAGACGCCATTCCAACAAAACCAGCATTCTGTGGTAGCCCTTTGGTATTGTTATTTGGTGCCGTCAAGTCAGTTAGCAACCCCATGCACAGCAGGATGAAATCCTGTCCTGTCCTGAGCCCACCTCACAATCATTACTACACTTGAGCCCATTGCTGCTGCCTCTGTGCCAATCCATCTCGTCGGACTCTTCCTCTTTTTCACTGACCCTTCCACTTTACCAAGCATGATGTCCTTCCACAGGGACTGGTCCCTCCTGATAACATGTCTGAAGTATGAGAGACCAAGTCTCGCCATCCTGGCTTCTAAGGAGCATTCTGGTAGCCCTTTTTTTCTCAGAAACGATCATGGTAATAGTTGACCAGCCCTGGAGGAGTGATCGTATTAAGGCATTACTTGGCCTTGTTCTTGGTGTTCACTCTTACTGCGGTGGTCTTTAACAAGTTTTTCAAAAAGAAGTGACTTTCAGAAATAGAATGCTGGCTTATCTAAGTCCAGAGCGAGCAGTTCAGAACAGCTCAGAGCCATCCAGCTTTGCGTTAAGACACATGTGAGCGCTCACAGCATAGCCTCCAGGCGAGAAGCAGGGGGGGTGAAGCTTTGGAGCGCTAACGCCCTGCAGACGAGTTTGTGCAGACACAGGTCTGGAAGCCGTCACTGCCCGCGCCACCTTTGAGCACATACACCCTGCCAGGAGATTACTGGGGCTTGTTTGTAAGTGCAGGAAGGGCAAAGACCGAGCTCAGAAATCATCCTCCCCAGCTTCAAACGGCAAACAGCCTGTAATCTAACTGCAAACCTAAGTCGGCTACGTAATTGGCCCCTTAAACCTCCTGAGTCTCAGCAGGGATGGGTCAGCTGTGCTCATGCAGGTAGATGTTGGGGAGTGGGGATAAAGAATCTGCAAGTTCTCTGTAGGCCTTCTCAGAATTTTGGTTTTGTCTTTTAATGATGGTCTAAAAAGACTCAGTTCCCTCTAGGGCCTTGGGCTCCCCCATGGGATCTGATCTGTGCACATCTCTGTGGTGTGTTAGCAGCCGCGAGTCCTTCAGAGACGTTTGACAGGCAGGTAGGGAACAGAGAAGGGAAGCCCAGCGAGGCAGTGGACTGCCGGAAGCCCCCCAGTCTGCTTCCGAGGTGGCTCATGGAGATGGGTCTGCTCAGCCTGTGTCTGGGGGTCTGACTTGCCACCCCTTGGGTGACTGAGTTCCTGTGATTTTTGTGCCGAGGTCACTCGGAGGCGGGAGGGCTTGCTGGGCAGAGCCTGAGGTCTTCACACACCCAGCTCCCTGGGCACACTGGAAACTAGACCCTCACTCCTATGGAATGAGGCTCAACAGCTGCTATCCTTGGCGCTAGTTCCTCCTGCCGCTTGTCAGCCTGCCCTCCCTCCCCAGCAAGAGATGACAGTGACGGCCTGTCCCTGGACCCTGCACGTCCTACACAAACCCCACTGCCCTTGAGTCAGGTCCAATTCAGCAACCCCGCAGGACAGAGTAGAGCTGGCCCTATGGGGGCTGCAGACTCAGACTGCCACATCTTTGTCCCATAGGGCATCTGGTAGCTTTGAACCATTGACCTTTTGGTTAGCAGCTGAGCACTTAACCACTGCACGACCAGGGCTCCTCATTCTGTTCTAGGGCCATTTAAGCATAGCTGCTTCTCACTGCTCTCTGTCCCGGCTGCACGCAGCTCCTCTGTGCTCTAAAGTAGGCGAGGGTCCCTGCTTGGCCCCCTGATGTGGGACATCCCAGCCAGCCTCTTCTTGACCTGTTTCCAGCTCTGCTCACCCTGACCGTTTGCAAAGGCAAGGGGGCTTGGCTATGTGTCTTTGGCCCGTCTGGAAGACTACACTCCTCAGCTGTCTCTTCACAGCCTAGAGGCTTCCATGTGCCTCAGGAATGGACACCTGCTGGCCCCTCTCCCACTTCCCCCACCCCATGCTGTGCCTTTCGGCACCATTGAGGACAAATGGAACAGCCGCAACCAGCAGCCTTGCCCTCCCGGCTGCACGTTCCTGTCATCAGAACAAACTGTCCTCCCTCCCATCGTCCACATTCAAGCCCCCCCAGCGCCCGTACCCATCAGGAGCAGCTGGCTATGGTCACACGAGGCTTCCTCTCCTTTTCTGCAGATTGCCTCGTGATCTTCGGCATCTGTGACTCTCCGGCGGACCTCAGCTTCCCTGACTAAAGGTTGGGGGGGGGGGGGGGGCAGGAGAAGAGGTTTACTGGGTGGATCAAACACTACCTGCCATGTTACCACCACACACCAGTACCAGCTGCAGTCAAGTCGGTTTCCACCGGTGTGTCAGAGTAGAGCTGTGCTCCATCAGGTTTCCATTGGTAGCTGCTTTTGGAAGTAGATTCCCAAGCCTTTCTTCTGGGGAGTCTCTGGGTAGGCTTGAACCTCCAACCTTTAGGTCAGCAGTGTAGTGCATTAATGTTCTCTGCACCCAGATACTTGTCACATTGTTAGGGCTAAATTCAATGTTGTTATTGGTGTCGCTGGGAACCGCTGATTTGGTTCCTAACTCACAGCGACTCCGTGTACAACAGAGAAAAGCTCTGCTCGGCCCGGTGCTGTCCTCACGGTCATTGCTGTTTGGGCTCTATGTCGTTCCGTCTTGGTAAGAGTCTTCCTCTTTTGGGCTGGCTCTCTACGTTACCAAGCTCGGTGTCCTTCCCCGGGGAATAGTCCCTCCTGATGAAATGTCTAACATACATGAGACAGAGTTTCAAGGAACATTCTGGCTGCACTTCTTCCAAGACAGATTTGTTTCGTTCTTCTGGCAGTCCATCGTGTGTTCTGTGTGCTTCACCAACAGCATAATTCAAATGCATCCTTTACTCGCTCTGGTAAACGTTGTTGTTAAGTGCCATCCAGCTGCTGCCGACTCACAGTGACCTGTATAGGGTGTCTAAGGAGCTGCTGGTGGGATTTGAACTACCGACCTTATGGCTGGTAGTCCAGTGCTTATCCGACAGTGCCACACCATTTAATGTTAGCCTTCAGTTATTCTTCCTTTTAAGTGACTTATTTAAATTTTTATTATGAAGTACAATAAGCAGAAGATATATAAAGAAGAAAAATATTCTCATGGACTCCAGCCTTTCGGAAGCCATGGAGGGTGGATTAACCCTTGAAACTGTTGCCTTGAGATCATCTTTAAACTTTAACTTAAACCAAATATCTCCCCCCAAAGTCTTGTTAAAACCAAACATTTATTTATCTTCACCAGCAAGGAATGTTTGCCTTGAACTTTCTGGCCTTTTAAAAAAAGATCAATGAGTATTTACATGACATGAAAGTAACAACAGTGACTTGAGAAAGATTAGATCGGAAGTCCAGGGGGTGGGGCGGGGGTGAGGACAGCTCAGGGGTGCCCGTGAGCAGAGCGTGGGCACAGCGTGGGCATGCAACCTGAAGAACTCTATCACTTAGTCGTGCCTGTGGATACCCTGTGGATACGGTTGAGTTGATCTATGTTTTGCTATATATATTCTCACCAACAACAACAAAAAGGAAGTGTAAAAAACAGTAGTAAATACCAATAATTAAATGATTACAAATCAAATTTGAAAAATAAAATAGTAATGAAACAGGCCAAGAAATTCCCTCCAACCACCCCCACTGGTCTCTGCGGTTCCTCCCATTGGTCTCTGCTGGCCCTTGTTTGCACTCCCTGACTCAGAGGGACTGGTTCCCTTCTGCCCGTGTGTGGACTCTGAAAGGAATCACACTGCCGCCTCCTCCCATGGCCAACTGCTTTTGCTCCCCATTAGCTATTTGGAATCTGCCCATTTGGGGGAATTTCCCCCCTTTTCGCTGCCCTATGAACACACCACAGCTTATTCCCTTCCCTATAAGAGTGGACCCTCTGCCCTTTCCCACTGCTCTAGGTGCTGCTGTGAGTGGGATCCCAGGCGCCACCACAAAATGTGTCGTCGTCCCCCCCCCCCCCGGGGGCACAGGTGTACCAATTACTGCATCGCCATCTGCTCGCCACCTTGAGAGGTTCAGACAAGGTGTAGCAGACAAAAGAGGAAACCGGGCTCCCTGGGAGTCATGTCTGGGCAGGAGACTTGGACGAGGAGATGCTCAGAGTCGGAGTGGACCACAGGGTTGTGGAATGAAGGAAAGAATGCATGGATGTCCCAAGAGCAGCCGTTCACGTCTGACCTTGGGCTTGAAGGCCATGCGGGCGTGTGTTGGGCGTGCCTGGGTGGGGCTTCAGAGGCTGGAGGTGCCAAGCATATGGTAGGACACCCTTCCGTGTGACACCAGGAAGGCTGGGTCACGGCAGGGGTGCAGACTGTCCAGGCTTGGTGACTGTGTGGGCCTGGGCTGGACTGTAAGTCTTTCATGTGTGACATGTGTCTAGAAGCAGCCCCCTTGCTGCTGGGACTTGAGGGCACTCAAGCAAGAATCGAGTCCACACTTGAGGGCTTCACCAGCTTTTGAAGCCCCCTTGTATATGTTCCGTGACTATGCAGATAGACTTGCAGTAAACATGGCCAAGTACTGTCACAAAAGGAGCCTTGGAGACAGTGGCTGAGCGTTCCACCGAGAACTGAGAGGTCAGCATTTCAAACCCAGCAGCAGCTCTGCTGTGCCCTGTGTGGTCAGAATGAGTCAGAAACCCCTCAACAGCAGTGGGTTTCTCTCCGCAGACATGGAACAGGCTTTTTTAGACGAAAGCTACCACCTGAGTTGGCTAAGTGTGGCCTACGTTGGGCACACTTAGCATTTGCTGAATAATGCTTTCGCTGCTAGGCTTCACCTCGTGGAGGGAAGCGATCATGCCAGGTTGGTTCTGGGCATAATATGGAACAAGAGAGTTGCAGGCAGGGCTGAAGCTAGGAGCCAACGCTGTGACTCCGTGGGCCACTTTATAGCTGGTTCCAGTCCAGTGCCCTAGCCACTAGCCTCTGGGGTCTGCCCATTTTAACCAAGCAGTCAGTTAATTGTTGGCTGTGATGACCACCCCCATGTGGTCAGTGGTCACTGTTGTGGACTGCACAGAGGAGGATACTTCCCTCATCACAGCAGGCTCTACTGGACATGGGGGCCGTCAGGGACTGTTGAACCCCACTGTGACAGATGTGCTGCGTGTCTGGCTCAGACCTGGAATCTCTCCCCAGGAGATTCTGAGTGATGTTGAAGGGCCTACTGTGCTCCTACCCCCAGGGCTGGGCCAGGAGGCCCTGAGAGCAGCCAGAAGGACTGAGCGTCCCAGCCCCACACTCTCCATTTCCAGGATTGTGATTTGGAGCAGCAAGTCAGTGTGAAAAATGTTAATGATGCAGAAAAGGTGGAAGGATTGTGGAATGCGTTCTGTCTGGAGCCGACAGTTCTGACTTCATGCTTTGCTGTTTGTTTTATCACGTTCAGAGAAGGCGTTTTGTTGGTGATTTATGCACTGCCAAACTAGCTTGTAGGCTTTTAGGGACCCAGATTATGTGCACCCCTGTGACAAGCCTGCTACAGCTTCCTGAGAGCTGAAGAATGAGTAACACCCCTCCTCCACTTGCAGCCAGCTGCAGCCCTAACACATCCTGCTCCCGGAGCCTGCCCTGTCTCCCACAGAGGCCACGGGTGTCGGCCCACCTCCTGCTCTCAGCCCCTCTGCTGTGTGTATGTGTGTGTGTGCACGCACATGTGAGTGTTTAAAATGACTGAACTGATTTCCCAAATCCAAGAATATTCTGGAAGCTTACCACAGCCAGCGTTGGCCCACCAGATGGCACGGCACTGACTGAGTGTGCTTGGGCCCTACAGGTGGAGCTAGAGGTCACACTGCCAGGGGAAGGCAAAGACCGCATCTTCAAAGTGTCCATCAAGTGGGTGTCCTGCGTGAGCCTACAGGCGTTACACGATGCACTTTCGGGGCGGCTGCCCAGCGTCCCCTTCGAGACGATCCAGGCCCTGGATGTGGTCATGAGGCACCTGCCATCCATGAGGTGAGAGCAAAGAGGACCAGAAATACCACGTGTATGGTGTCGTAGATGGTACATGACAACATCTACTCCGGCTGTGACAGGGACCCCACACGGGGACTAGCTCAGTCCCCCAGTGCTCCTATAGCAGAGACACCACAAGTAGACCACATTAACAAGCACAGATTTCTTCTCTCCCACTTCAGAAGGCTGGAAGTCCAGTTTAGGGTGGCACCTCTAGGGGACGGGGCCCACGCCCTCAGTCACTCTGGGTGATCCTCACATGGCTCGGCTGCTCTGATGTCTAGCTTGTTTAATATCTTCGATATCTCCCAATCAATTGCCTGAGGATGCACCCTACACTAATCCTGCCTCATGAGCATCCCCTTCCCCACTGGGGACAGAACCACAGGTGGAGAGACGTGGATCGACAGCACATATTCTGGGGAGTCATCCAGCGAGTGGTCCCCTGAATGGGAGGGGTATGGCTCTAGTGCTGTGGCAATGGCCATGCTAAAATGGTGGCCAGATGGCGCTCATGTGACTCCTCCCCGAAGCGGTGTCACACGCGGGCGGCCCTGTCTCTGTCCATGCAGTGATGCGGTGAGGCCTGGGCTGCTGCCTCCCACACTGTGTCCTGCTCGGCCGCTGTGCACCCGGCCCAGTGCAGTGCCCGAGCAGTGAGCAGTGAAGGATCCTGAGTGCTGAATAACAGTCCCGTCAGCCTGTGTTTCCAGAAGTGTTTGTGTTCACACAAGGTGGTCTCTCCTTCCAGGTACACCCCCGTGGGCCGCTCCTTCTTCACTGCGTCTGAGGGCTGCTCGAACCCTCTTGGTGGGGGCCGAGAGGTCTGGTTTGGCTTCCATCAGTCCGTCCGGCCTTCACTTTGGAAAATGATGCTGAATATTGATGGTGAGCTAAGCCTAGTCCCAGCAGTGAGATGGGCTGGGAAGGTGTTAATGGACTGAAGCGTACGCTGTTATTAAAAACAATAAAAAATACTTTTATTAAAAATAATCACCTGCATGAGCAAAGGCCTCCTTTGCCTTGAGAACAAACGAATTGGATGGTGTCCAGCCACCGTAATTGAATATTTTTATCAAAGGGGCTAGAGAAGAATCCTGATCACAGAGCGGATTATTTGATCCAAACTTTCTAGAGCCTTGGAGGATGGATGAGCCCCTAAACTATTGCCCTGAAATCGTGTCCCTGAAGTCTTCTTAAACCCAAACAGTAGTTTCACTTACCTCATAAAGTGTACGTTCGTTAAGCCTTGTGCTCTTTTAAGATCTGTCCATATGCGATCAAGAGTCCTGGTGTGGTGCTGTGGGTTAATGCCCCAGACCGCAAAGCCATTTGAACTGCAAAGGCAGCAGTTCAAGCTCACCAGCTGCTCCTTGGAAACCCTGTAGGGTGGCTATGGGTCGGAATCGACGCGACCGCATTTAACACCAACAATATGCGATCAGATTGACAGCAGCCACTTGGAAGATTGGGTGGGCAGCGTCAGGAGGCAGTGAGTTTGTGTTCTTGGGGGGAGTACCGAGTTGGAAAAGGAGGGTGAGAATATGTGCACAACTCCAGTGGAATCGATGGCACTGAATCGTGTTAGTGGGATGTATGGAATCGGTATGTGTATGTTCTGTTGTGTATAAACTCAACAACAGCACAAATAAGTTATTAGAAACGAAACAAACACACCTAGAAGGTAATGGTAAGTTTCTGGAATCTCTAGATAGAAAAAAGAGTCGATTTAAAAAGTAAAACAGTTTGGGAAAACCTAAAACTTACAGTGCCCTTGACCAAGTTGCATTTTGTATGCTTTTTAAAATGGATTCTCTGTCCAAGAGCAACCTGGTGTTGCCACTGACTGGAGGAGCTGTTGGGCAGCCAGGCCGTCCCCAGGCTCCGTTCTAGCCCTGTGGGACCGGCCACCCAAGGTGTCCTCACTGTGTTTTCTACCTCTGAGCCCCCTAGGGTGGACTTACGGGTGGGACAGCAGGCCTGCGCCCCTGAGTCTCTGGACCACCACCTTCCCAGAGCTCCTCAGAAAACCCAACCCACCTCATTCTCTCTCCGTGTTTTCTCCTCCTGCCTGCAGTCTCGGCAACAGCGTTTTATAAGGCACAGCCAGTAATCGAGTTTGTTTGTGAAGTTTTGGATTTTAAAAGTATTGAAGAACAACAGAAACCTCTGACAGATTCCCAAAGGGTAAAGTTTACCAAAGAAATCAAAGGTAAGTCACTACCTGCCAGGGTACATGGGCTGAGAGTGGGGAAATCTCCAAATGTCAGGCAAACAGAATCCCCCTTTGATTTCCATAAAAGTAAGTACTCAGCTCTCAGGATGCTGGGTTCCAAGACCAGGTGACTTCAAGCTTATAAACAATTCAATTCTGATCCTTTGGAAAGCACACAAAGAAATGGGTGGCCAAATTGATGTGAAGTATCCCTAGTGACGCAGTGGTTAAGTGCTCAGCTGATAGCCAGAGGGTCCGTTGTTTGTGCTCAAGGGAGAGAGATGAGGCTTCCTGCTCTCGTGAAGATGATGGATTCGGAAACCCCAGGTCATTCTACTCTGTTTAAGTCCGAACTGACTCAGCAGCCCCCAGTGACTAAGCATTTATGTGCTAACCAAAAGATGGTTGCTTCAGACCCACCCAGTGGCTCTGTGTGAGAACCAGCTGTGGCATGCTTCTACTCAATCTGGTCGGGTCACTGTGGGTTTTCACAGAGCGTCCTAGGTAAATATGTCCTCTTGCGCAGTGCAAGGGCCGGGGAATGGTGAGCTGTGGGCGCTCTGCAGCATGGCTGTGGTGCTGTGTTCTCCATGTGACATGAGTCTTGGTTCATAGCACCCACTCCTCATGACGTATGGCAGGCATGCACATCCATCGAGTAGATAGGGTCCCAGGGCTAGCTGCTCACCTGGCCACTCTACCCTGCTCTGGCCCTGAGGGCTAAGACCACCGAAGTCCCAGTGGTTAATAGTAACAACCCCAAAGGAGGCACAGACACCTGCTCTGGGCTGAGCGTGAGCCGTCTCTTCCATCCTAGAGCGATGTCTGTGCCCAGACCGGAAGCAACTCAATGGCTCTGGCCCGGGACGACCCTATGTCTGCCCTCTTGAGAGGAGGGTCCGTAGCCCCCAGACTCAGTTTCTCTGTGTACAGACTCCTGACTGGGATGGCACTGATGTGGTCCTGTCTGTCCTCAGGTCTAAAGGTGGAGATAACGCACTGTGGGCAGATGAAGAGGAAATACCGCGTCTGCAATGTGACCCGGCGGCCAGCCAGCCACCAAACGTAAAGCGCTCCTTCCAGACTGGCCCTGGCCCTCACTGTCCCATAAGGCTCAGGAAGGACACCCCCACACCTCCACACACACAACCTTAATGTACAGCAGTAGGTTCTGAAAAGGCACCTGAGAGACTCACATCCTGAAATATGCCACCTCTATGGGTTTGAGTCCCTGTTCATTCTTCCTGGGTTTACAGGACTGCAAACCCTTTTTGTTGACCAGGCCTCAGGTGGGTGGTGGCCGGTCCACCCTTCCCCAGCCATGCACGCGGCCCAGTCTCCACATCCATGCAGGACTGCCTGGCCAAGAGTCTGCCGTGGGCATGTGTGTGTTTGCTTTAGGGAGGGGGTGGACTCAGCCCTACATGGCATATCCTGAACCCATTGGCCACAGACCATGCAGTGGGCAGTGCCTAGCCTGGGAGACCAAGATGGCCAGGGCCTTACCTAGCCAGAATGAGTGGCCTGGGTCCTTGTCTCATTGTCCATCCCCCAGCGGGCCGAGCTGTCTGACCAGAGACCGCAGAAGCCGAGGTGTAGTAGCTCTTCTCTAGGCAGGCCCTCCACTCGGGTGTAGAGCCCCCTTCTTGCCACCCCTGCTCCAGGCTCTGCTGTACAGATAGCCCAAGGAACCTTCCCTCCCCTGCCCACCCAGCTGTAGCAGGCACTTCCTGTGGGTGGGGCACTTGGCTCCTCAGGATCTCCGAGCAGGCTGGACTGGTGGTCAGCCCTGAGCCTTTTCCGTGTGGTGGATACTACAGGCACAGTGTAGGTCTTGTCTGTCTTGTGCATGTAGATATTTTCATCCCCAACTCCAGAGTCAGAAGGATTGAGGCACCCCAAGAGCTTCCAGACCATTGGTTTGAACCACAAGATTGACAATTCAAATTCATCAGCTGCTCCTTGGAAACCCTATATAGGGTCACTATGAGTCAGAACTGACTCAGTAGCACTTAACAGCAACATGACTTTCTGAGCTGACCTTTATGCTTTCTTTAAGTAACCCAGATCCCTCTCGGAAATCAGTTTCAACTGGGCCTTTTTTTTTTTGAAGGCACGTTAATGAGACTAAGACCAGTGTATTACTGAACTTGCATGTAACTGACTACTGATCCCAGAGACATTTCAAAACATATATTGCGTAGAATAAACCCCTGCCTATATGAGCTAGAAAAAAAAAAGCGATTCCAGACAATGCAGTAGGCAGGGCTTGGGACGTGTGCATCCGGTCACCACCCAGTGACGCACACCTGTGTGCCCTGGACTGCCCTCAGCTGAGCTCCTCTGGCCCTAGGTTTCCGCTGCAGCAGGAGAGCGGGCAGACCGTGGAGTGCACAGTGGCCCAGTACTTCAAGGACAGGCACAAGCTGGTGCTGCGTTACCCCCACCTCCCGTGTTTACAAGTCGGACAGGAGCAGAAACACACCTACCTTCCCCTGGAGGTGAGGCCACACCTGTGTGCATGGGCAGGACCGCTGGGGCCTGGGCAGACGGCAGAGCCTCCACACTGAGGTGTAGGTGCATGGGTGCCCTGCGCTGCAACCCCCACTGTGCTCAGCTGTGCTGCGGGGCTTTGTTCGGAGAAGGGGCTCTCCTGCTGAGATCAGGAGGGGTCCTGGTGGGTTAGGGAGGAAGCACCACGACAGTCCCTGCACAGCATTCCCGTGTCCACTCCCTGTGCAGGTCTGTAACATAGTGGCAGGACAGAGGTGCATAAAGAAACTCACCGACAATCAGACCTCAACTATGATCAGAGCCACTGCCCGGTCGGCGCCCGATCGCCAGGAAGAGATCAGCAAACTGGTGAGTGAGTGCCGGGGCCTAGGGTCCGCATGGGGTGCCCATGAGGTGCCCTCAGCCAGGAAGCCATCTGATATGGGAAAGAACAAGACCATATCTGACCCCATGCCTTTTCTCTCGCTCGCTCGCTCTCTCCAAGATGCGAAGTGCAAGTTTTAACACAGATCCTTATGTTCGTGAATTTGGAATCATGGTCAAGGACGAGATGACCGATGTGACGGGACGGGTCCTCCAGCCGCCCTCCATCCTCTATGGGGGCAGGGTACGTGCCATGCATGCTGCTGAGCTTTCACTGGGGTGGCTGAGTCCAAGAGGGGGTGCCCCCCATACATTATTCATAGCCCCTAAAACTCAGAGGTCCTCATCAAAGACTGGCTTCTTCAGGATATTCGTCGTCTTTTCAACAGATAAAATGAACGCTGTCTTCACAGTTAAAAGGCTTTTCGCTTTTATGACTGATAATCTGCTGGTATAGAATCATCTCGTTCTTTTTATTTTGTACCGTCCATCTGTCCGTCCCCTCTCCATATGTTTGTCTGTCTACTCATCCTCACCCATCCTCCTTCCTCCCACCCACCTTCCCCTCTTTCTACCCATCCACCCCCCCATCCATTCGGTTTCCATTCACCCACCCCACCCCCATCCAGTTCCCACACCCCACACCCAGATTATCTGTGGGTACCTACCAGTGGTGCCAGGGGCGACACACAGTTTTCCTTCCTGCCCTGGGGAGCCACCGTCTGGTCAAGGGGACAGCGTCCGTGATAAGGACGGTGACAAAGTCAAGGTCAGAGAAGGAGGTGTGTCTTCCCATGTGTTCTCACTCAAAACCTCTTGCCACCTGCAGAACAAAGCGATTGCCACCCCTGTCCAGGGTGTCTGGGACATGAGGAACAAGCAGTTTCACACGGGCATCGAGATCAAGGTGTGGGCCATTGCGTGCTTCGCCCCCCAGCGCCAGTGCACGGAAGTCCACCTGAAGTGAGTGCCGGGGGCATTGGGGAACCTCGGCTTCCTTTCTGGAAAATGTGGATCACTCACTCCCTCCACCACATGGAGTGGATTCCTACTCACAGCGACCTGGGACCGAATCCTAGTGCTCCTTAAGGTTTCCAAGGCTTTGAATCTTTACGGGGCAAATAGTCGCCTCCTTCTCCGTGGAGGGGCTCACCACACCAGTGCTTAGCCCCTGGTACCACCATGGTTCCTTATGTGAGCTGCGCCCTGCAGTGAAAACACTGCTTTTATCTCTCGGGCCCTCCGTGGGGACTCCTGTGGAGAATTAGCTGGCCTGGGTGGGCCAACTCAGCGGCAGCCCACAACAAAGACAACAATGTACAAAAACAAAAAGGCTCCTCTTTGTTTATTTCTGAGGAACACTCTTCAGAGTGGTACAGCCATAAAGAAAACTGGGTTCGCTGAAATGCAATTATTTTTGAAACAGTTTAGCTTCATATTTCTGTCAATTAAAGAGGAGGAGGAAACGGAGACAGAGTGTGGAAGAGACGATAAAACAGAGAGACTGGGCTGTGTATTCTTACTCATGCAGGCGGGATGTCGGGGGTGGCAGGTGAAAAGCGCTGAGTATGAGGGGAGACCTAGAGAGAGATTTGGGTCCCCCTCTCCTTGGACATCAGCCACTTGCACACCCCTAGGAGTCTCAGGGACACAGAAGTGCATCCTCACCGAGGGAGTGATGGGGCTTCCCAGGAGCTGGGTCATGGGCCGGTATAGCCAAAGAAGGACGCATCAGATACACTGAGCTGCTGCCTGACTCAGGAGCGGGACCCTTCAAAATAGCACCTTAAAGACAGCGTTCTCGCTGATGTTGTTTATTTCAAGCATTTCTCAAGGGGGAGCGACTTCGCTGCTGCAGCCTATCTTTGGGGTGGGGGCAGATGGGGAGCCAGTGGAGGGGGCAGACTGTGAGGGGTACCCAGTAGAGCATGGTCTAGATCAGCCCGGCCCAGCAGAATCTGAGGTATCTCTTCCACACAGCAGTATAGATGCTCTGGCCTTTATGGCCAGGGGCCCAGGGAGGCCTTGGGGACCAGATCGAGTAGTTTCCCCACCCCCAGTTCTGTCCTTGGCTCTCTTCTTCTGTTTGAGCTGGGAGCACAGTGTCCCTGAGGCCAGTTACTATGCAGATCCTTAAGCACACTAATATGCGCATAGTGGACCGCTAACTGGCTAGGTTTCCTTTGAGCTTCTGTACCTTGCTGTAGTAGACCACGCTGTTTTTATTTTCAAGCTTAAAATAGAAGCTATTGCTCTGCCTCTCCTCTCGCCCTGTAACTTCAAAAGGCCAGTTGGCCCAGCTGTCTGCTACTCAGACTGTGGTTTTCTACTGCGATGATGTCATCCAGATCCACACCCCACGCTCACTGGAAAAATACCCAAACGGGCATGTGGCTTGTAATTTAGTCTCTCTGAAAATACCTGGCATGCAGAGCATGGAGACAGCTTCATCTCAAGGGCCCCTGGCCAGTCAGGTGCTCCTGAGGGGGACAGCTGCTCAGGGTATTGCTTGAAAAGGACAGCGTCTCCTCCCGCCCACGGCACGCTGCGGCTGCCACTGTGAAGTCAGGCCAAAGCGTTGTGTCTTCTCGTGGTTTCCAGGTATCAACGATGGTGACAATGAAACGACACGCCTGTGGCTGTCGAGTCGATTTCAACTCATGACAGCTCGGGGGTCACACATTAGAACCACCCCTTAGAGTTGGCTTGGCTGTCGTCTCCATAGAAACAGACTGCCAAACCGTTCTTGTGTGGTGCCACTGGGTTGGTTTAGGCCAAGCCAAGCCAGACCTACTGCCATTGAGTCTTATCTTTCTCCCTCGGAGCGGCTGGTGGGTTTGAACTGTCAACTTTGGGATTAGCAGGCCAACCTTATACAGAGCAGCTCCAGAGCTTCTCCACCTTACCACAGATCAGGTTAGCACATTTCACCTCATGAATGGCTGCAGTTCTGAAAGCTTGTGGCCTCGATACACGATGTTCTGGTTTGGTTAGTACTGTGCTTTTCTCTGGTGCTCTGGTGGCACTATGGTTAAAGCACTCAGATCGTTGTGAGTCAGAACCAACTTGACAGCGGTGGGTTGTGGATTTGGGTGCCCTTCCCTGAGGGGAGCAAGGCCTCTGAGGCTTTGTGCTTTGCTGGAATGGTCCTTCTCTGGCAGGTCCTTCACAGAGCAGCTCAGAAAGATCTCGAGGGATGCTGGCATGCCCATCCAGGGCCAGCCCTGCTTCTGCAAGTATGCCCAGGGTGCAGACAGCGTGGAGCCCATGTTCCGACACCTGAAGAACACCTATGCTGGCCTGCAGTTGGTGGTGGTCATCCTGCCAGGCAAGACCCCTGTCTACGGTAGGCGAGAGGCATTGCTTCTGACAGGGGGCGTGGTCTCTGAGGGTGCCCACTTGGTGTCATTGTCGAGTGGTGCCTTGTCTGGGCCGTGCTTCCTAACAGTGCCGCAGACTTAGTGCATGAGTAGTAGGTCACCTTGACACTGGACCCGAGTGCTGCCTGGACAGAAAACTGCCTGTCCCATGCACCAAGGTGCGTGGTGAGGGCCTCTCTTGTCATTTCTTTGCCCACCTCAAATTCTCTGGAAGTCCCTCTATGCCTATTGGACTATGTGGTGCTCGCCCAGGCCTTGGAGGGTACATAGATGGATAGGGGAGAGCCCCTCCTTTCAGGAAGTCCCAGGGCAGCAGGGAGACACACAGTTCAGGAGGGCCTGCTGTCCAGACCCTGGTAAATATGTGGGGAGCCCAGTGCTCCCAGTGCAGGGGTGCAGCTAGGGCCCTAGGGGAAAGCCAGCATGGTACATGCAAGCTGGGCATCAGCCCCCCAAGTCCCACACCCAGAACTAGAACACATGCTGTCAATGTTTCCATCCTGTCCACCTGTCCGCAGAGAGCCAGGGGTGGGGCCTGCCAGTTGCTTCATGGAAGAGCCCGAGAGCCGAGAACGAGGTCCCAGGCAGCTCTAACGCCCACTCTGTATGTGGCAACGACTTGAAGAGAACTGGGCCGTTGTCTTTTGAACTGCTCACACGTTTGCTCGCCGCTGCGAGCTCTGCCTGCAAGTGCAGGCAGACCTTTGAAACACCCCTGTGATACGGCAAATACCACACTAAAGTGGCGCGCATGTGTTTTGGGGTTTCTCAGGGAATGTAAAACTTCCCACCTTCCCACTCTGCTTCTGGTTTATGATGTTGTTGATGCTGTAAAGTGCTATTGAGTTGGTTCCGATTCTTAGTGACCTTGTATAAGGTCTCCAAGGAGCAGCTGGTAGGTTTGAACCGCCGGCCTGTGGTTGGCCATCCAATGCTTGTCCTTCAGCACCACTCCAGAAGTCCTGAGGTGTGCATGAGGAGAATGTTTGAAACTTGGGCAAATGACCAAAAGGGAACACAGAACTGCCAAGTGTTCACGACCTGTTAGAGAAATGGTGCCAGTAGACGTGTTCCACACCAGCTTGTCACAGACTTTGTTTGTCAAAATGGTACTCACTGTCTGCGAAGCACAGTGAAGCAAGGGGGGCCTGCATCATTACCAGCAGGGACCGTCGAGCCCCCCAGGCCCCATGAGCTGGCCACCCAGGGCAAGGGGAAGGGAAAGGTGGTGCGGGGTAACCCAGGCCGGGTGGGACACCCCCCAGTGGCCCACCGCACTGTTGTGGATACCCCATGTGGAGAGAGAGCTGAGTGGGCATGCCTTCTGTCCCGGCAGCTGAAGTGAAGCGGGTGGGAGACACGGTGCTGGGCATGGCCACGCAGTGTGTGCAGATGAAGAACGTGCAGAGGACCACGCCACAGACGCTGTCCAACCTGTGCCTGAAGATCAATGTCAAGCTGGGCGGCGTCAATAACATCCTGCTCCCCCAGGGCAGGTGAGGCCCCTCTAACCTGCAGTGGTAGATGGGGGGGGGGGGGAAACCAGGTGGAGATGGGGACCCAGGCTCCCCTCTGACCTGTAGGTGGGGGGTGCCAGGTAGAGATGGGGGACCCAGGGCCCTGGCTGTGCATTTAGGAGGACACCCCAGTGGCGGAACCTAGCGCAGTCAGGCTCTGTTTGCAGGTGACTCAGGTCCAAGTTGGAAACATTGTTGCAGTGAAACCAGGAACTTGCTTTAGGCTTAAAGCTGTCAGTGATGCTCATATGCTTTTCACTAAATGGAGCCATGGAACAGTGTAAGACTGTCAAAGGTGGAAAACTTGTGAGACCCGTGGAGCTCCGGTTCTCACAGGTATGGCCGTTTCAGTCCCCTTCCGGGGGTGCGCCCCTAGAGCAGAGCGCTCAGTATGACCGGCCCCTCCACTGGCCAGTCCCCCTCAGCTTGGGTCTCCAGCCATCAGTGGTAAGGAGCTCACGAGAGAGTTTGCGGAGAATTCCTCCAGCAGTGGGCTGTCCTGGAGTCAGATCCTCCACCTGCCTTGTCCCTGGCACCAGCCTCTTAGATACCAGACATTCCGTTGCCGGAATCCTGCCCCGGCTGTCTTTTTCCATGCCCCCCCGCCCCCCTGAGTGTTGGTGGCTTCAGTTGTCTTCTGTGAGAATCCCAGTCTGTCACGTAGTAGAAGGTTCACATTTCCTGAGCACCAAAGAGCAGGACTGGGGCCCACCACACTACTCCCCCACCCCCACACCTTTACAGTGACTCTGACTCAAATTGACCTTGTAGGACAGGCGAGAATTGCCTCGTCTTCCTCCTGTGGAGGGGCTGATGGGTTCGAACTACTGAAGCTTTAGTTAGAAGCCCAGTGCTTACGCCGCTGTGCTACCAGGGCTCTCTGGAACTCGACATGAGAAGTTACAGGATGGCAGATCTGAACTCCCAATACAGAAACTCCTGGGGCGTCCAGCAGGAACCTCCGGTGTCCCCCAAGTCTGAGCATTCAGCCTGGCCCTCCGGTGTGGCTCACGAGGCCCAGCCGCAGAGACGGGGTGCCTCCTGCTTACAACCAGGGGCACACCATCGTGGTGGGGACGGCATCTGCAGGCCAGTGTCCTGATGTGTACCAGGCCCTCTGGAAGCACATCTGCCCAGAACAGCTCCGAGGGTGGGACTTCTCCTGTTTCTCTGAGGGGAAAGGGCAACTGTTGAACTGCAGGCTGACTCTCTGTGGCTGGTGACTGTCCTCTTCAGGGCAGGGACCCCTGGGAGGCACTTAGAAGACCAGGAAAGACATGAGATTGGAGCAGTAATACCCCGGGAGACATTTTTGATGGCCACTGTGGGGCGTGTGTGTGTATATGAGTGTATCTGTGTGAGTGTGTGTGGTTGTGTGTATGAGTGTGTGTACATACACACACCAGAGACCAGGGCTGTGCTGCTCCGTGTTCCTTGATGTGCAGAACGGCAGCCTTGGGAGAAGACCTTGGTCTCGAGAGCTTCAAGCCGGGGCTACTTTTTTCTGTGAATTTTTACTTGGGGAAAGTTTAAACGTATGCAAATGTGGAAGGCATATAACAGGCAGAAATCGTTGAGTTGCTGTGTGTTGTGTATGTTTTTACCACAGTTTAAAAGAAAACATCTTTTTTTAAAAGCAGTAGGTAGAGAATCCTGACCACCCCAGCCCACCCCACCCCTCCCTCCTCCTGTGTACATCATTAAGGAGCCCAGACACAACACACTTCATACACCAGTTGTGGGGCCGTGGACTCCCAGGCCCAGCACCCCTGTAGCTTTTCAGTGACTGGGCTGTTGGAAGTGGATTACCAGGCCTTTTCTCTGCGGCACCTTGGTATAGACTCGAACCCCCAACCTCTTAGTGAGTAGTCGAGCTCATGAGCCAATTATACCAGCCAGGAACTTACACGGTGATGGATCTTAAGTGCCATCCAGCCGGTTCCAGCTCGTAGTGACCCTGTATAGGGTTTGAGCTGCCGACCTTGTGGTTTGCAGTCCAGTGCTGATCCTACAGCGCTGCACCATGACTTAGAATCTTGTTAAGTGCCATCGAGTTGGTTCCGACTCAGAGCCACCCTGTATAGGGTTTCCAAGAAGCAGCTGGGGAGCTTGAACCACCTAACTTTGTGGTTCAAACCGACGTTGCAGTCAAGCGCATTAACCCACAGTGCCACACCAGGATAGGGTTTCCAAGGCTGTAAATCTTAGAATAGCCTTATTAGAAACCAAATTAATGCTACTGCTTTTGAATTGATCCTGACTCAGCGACTACATTGGACAGAATAGAAGCATCCCAAACTGCCAACGTTATGGTAGCAACCCAGTACTTAAGCCACTGTGCCACCAACACTCCTTTATAATAACGGACTTTGCATATGCTTGCAAAGTCCAGGCTGTGCTGTGGGACGTCACTGTGCCCCAAGCACCGCCCTGACACCCAGCTTCCCTCCATAGGCCCCCTGTGTTCCAGCAGCCAGTCATCTTCCTGGGGGCTGACGTCACCCACCCACCTGCCGGGGATGGGAAGAAGCCTTCAATTGCCGCTGTGAGTGTGTCCGTCCCCTTTGAGCTGCGGATGGGAAGGCCGGTGATTTCAGGGGGTGGGCAAAGTAGGGGCAGTGGAGCTGGCAGGCAGTAGGGTCCAGTGGGAAGAGATGGGGGTGTCCTAAGAAGCTGTGGGGTTGTGTGCTGGCACTGCCCAAAGCTGCGACCCCACACCAAGCCCTCCCTGAGACAGTTCTTGCCCGGCCTGGGCCTCACCTGCAGCTCAGGTGGTCCCTGTGGCTGCCGGAGTGTCTGCTGGAATGATGGTTTATCCTTTGTCTACCACTTCTACTTGCCATGCACAGACACAATGTCTTTTCTTGTGGTGTGGGTTCATAATTTACACACGTTTTGTTTTGTAACATTCGTTGCAATATATTTCATTTTCTTCTAAAAAGCTGCTAAATTTACAGTAATCGAGGCTTATGGAGCACCATCTTCCTGTTTATACGCCCTGTTCAGTCGCCTAGAGACGGCTGTTGCTGTTCCTGATAACTTTTTGTAAAAGTGTTCAAACTGGCTTCAGACTTTGTGGTCACCGCGGGAAGGTTTCACGCCTCTTCACAGTGCTGCTTGGGTGTGCTTACACCTGGCTTCTGTCCACTTACCTGGAAGGTGGCACGTTAACATCACCTGACTGCCCTCCTGGGGCTGGGGCTGCCAAGATCCTGCGGGGTCTGCACTAGCTGTGTGGCAGCCAGGTGTCCACCTCCTCCGGGGACCAGGGGGAGCTGTTAGCTGCCATGCCTACAGTTGCTGTATATTTGATGTGGGGGGGGGGGGGGGGGGGCAAAGTGCTGACATTCAGTGACTATCTTGGGAAAGCAATTAGCCTTAAAAAATAAAAACCGAAAACCCCAGCCCCACAGCAACAGACAAGCTGGAGAAGGTGTAGCCAGCTTCTTTGTGAGCCTTGGTAACCACCACCCCCCAGCCGAAGCTGAGCCCAGGGAGGGTCTGCTTGGCCCCCTAGATCTGGCCAAGGTTTCCTTCGCCTTGGAATGTGCTGACAGCTGCTAGTCACACACATAGAGGAGAATGGTGCAGAGCACCCCCTTCGTCCAGGTACCCTGTACCAGCCCCTCCTTTCCTTTCCCCGCCCCCCAGGTCGTGGGCAGCATGGACGCCCACCCCAACCGTTACTGCGCCACGGTGCGGGTCCAGCAGCACCGTCAGGAGATCATCCAGGACCTGGCTGCCATGGTGCGTGAACTGCTCATTCAGTTCTACAAGTCCACGCGCTTCAAGCCCACCCGCATCATCTTCTACCGAGACGGCGTCTCCGAGGGCCAGTTCCAGCAGGTGGGCCGTCCTCATCTGCCTGTCTGCAGGGCTGCTGAGCGGTGCTCTCTGCCTCTAGGATGCACCGCATGCAAGGTCTCTGGCTCTCCTGGGCTCCCAGTCCTGTGCCCCTGCATCGTGGTCATACCCATTTACAGGGGACAGGGTCATGCCTTTCTCTGTCTGTCCACCATCTCCCCGTGAGCATGCTGAGTACCCTTCAGAATAGCCACTGTGGACTTGGTGAGCGCTGAACCTGAGACACTTCCCTAAGATGTAATGATGATTAATTAGGACCACAGGCTGTGGCCAGTGTCTAGCCATTCCCACACGGTGACAGACGGTGACAGCAGAGAGCAGTCATTCTTTGTGTCCAACATGCCCATCAACACACCATGTGCTCAGCTGTCTCTTAGAACCTTCCCAACAAGGCTGCACAGCGGGAGAGTTCCCATTTTAGAAGTGAGAACTCTGGGATTCAGAGAGGTTACATGGTTTCTGAAAACCACACAGCCTCTTGGCGGTAGGACTAGTGTTTTACTGCAGGTTCAGTCAGCTCTTGAGCCAGTGTTTTTTCCTACTGTCCTCTGGCACCTTGTTGCTGCTATGTGTAGTTGTTGTTGTTAAGTGTGATGGGCTGACCCTGCTCGGTACCTCCCAGGTACTGTTTACCAAGCACTTACAGCGTTGTGGGCCTGTGCTCAGCAGCTTCGGGTGGTAGCTAATGAAACCGGGAGACCAGGCTGTGGTGAACTCTCAGAATCCCAGAGCTCTGGTGGGAAGCGGCTGTGTACTCAAGCCGCATCCACTCTCTCCTGAGCGGATAAAGAAACATGCTCAGAAAAGCAAAGTCCAGACCTCGAGGACTTAACTACTTGTCAAATGTGGTTTAGGAATTCACTTTGTAGGTTGCAATGGTTAGGTTCTCAGCTACTGAACAAAAGGTGAGTGGTTCGAACCCACCTAGTGGCTCCATGACTCCATGGTTCCGCCGAGGAGACCCTGTGTTACAATTCTGTCACGAGGTCACTGTGAGTCGGAACGCACTCAGCAGCACTCAACAAATGACAACAACCAGGGACTACTAACCAAAAGGTTGGTGGTTTGAGACTACACAGAGGCACCTTGGAAGACAGTCCTGGTGGTCACAGCTTAGTAAGCCCACGAGGCAGCTGTGCTCTGTCACGCAGGGTCACTGTGTGTCAGAGTCGACTCAGCGGCTCCCTGACAACAGCAGTGACATTCCACCAGTCAGCCAGTGAGCCTCCTTCTCTCGGCAGGTCCTCCACCATGAACTGCTGGCCATCCGTGAGGCGTGCATCAAGCTGGAGAAGGACTACCAGCCAGGGATCACGTTCATTGTCGTCCAGAAACGGCACCACACGAGGCTCTTCTGCACCGACAAGAATGAGCGGGTGAGTCCTCGGAGCCTCTGAGAGGGGTTGCGTGGGGGCCGCCCCCGAGGCCAGAGAAAGAGGGTGTCCGTGGCAGGGGTAGTCACGACATGCCTAGCAGAGCGTACACCAGGTCAGCCGTTTCTGTACGCACGACCCAGAGACGTTGACTCCACTCATGGAGTTGGAGGACCCTCTCCCTCTCCTTTCCGAGGGGCTCCACTCTTGGGGGTGCACACTCACTGCCCCCGTGGATTGCTGTTGTCGACTTGGCCCCACATACACAAAGAGGAGCGTAGTTCTCAAGGTAGAAGTTCTTCATCGCTGAAAGCTAAGCGATGATTTGTTCTTAAGAAGGCTTTAAGGGCCATTGTTTGTTTCGGGATTGGTGATGGCAGGCCAGTGGTTTCAGGGATGCATCCTGGGAGTTTTGATTCATAGGCTCTTGGCTAAGTGCTGCGGAACTCAGGGTCAGATGTTTAGAGTGAGAATTCTCCCCCCTGAAGAAGGTTGCGTGTCCCCTGGTCAGAAGTGCATTCTTTGTCCCAGTAGGATAAGGAGAAGTAAAGCCACACACACGTCGATAGCACTCAGTCTTGTAAACAAAAACCAAGCAAAACAAGCCCACTGCCCTCCGGTCGGTTCCGAGTCATAGTGGCTCATAGGGTCTCCTAGGCTGTTCATCTTTCTGGGAGCAGAAAGCCTCCTCTTTCTCCCAAGAAGCGGCTGACCTTGAGGGTAGCAGCCCAGTGCTTATCCGGAAGCACCACCAGCGTTCCTTCATGTTCTTACAAGTGCCTACAAAATCAGACATCACCCAGAGGGTGAGATGCGAGGCTCACTCCATTGGTACGATGAGGCCAGAGTTTTAGCAAGCCCTCGGGTGCCCCAGAAATCAGTACAGGAGCACACCCTGTCTTCCTGCGTGCAGGAGAGACAAAACCAGCGCAGAGCAAATAGTGAAAAACAGACACGCTCTGTCACACCAAGAACTCGCCACAACCCCAAGCTTGGCTGTGCCTAACAGCAGGGCCAGGGATACATAGCACAAGAAAAGTGAATTCCAAGGGGAAATGATCAAGTCCCCTATCAAAGAGGGACGTTTTAACACATCGACCGTCGGCCCTCATTATCCAAGGATTCTGCTTCAACCAACTGCAGGTGGAAAATATTGAGAGAGAGCGAGTAGGGGTCAGAGCGATCCCTCAAAGGCTAAGAGGGAGCGGAAAGTGTTGTATCTGTACCATTCCCGTTGTATTATGTCTGAGACATCTTCTAGAGAGGGTTTAAAGCCTACTGGAGGGTTTTGGAAGGCTCTGTGCACGCCTGCCGTGTTATATAAGGGATTTGGGCTTCAGCGGATTTGGGTACCCATGGGGGTCCTAGAATGAATCCCTGGTGGATACTGAGAGACAACTGTAAATCTGAAACTAAGGAACCCTAGTGGCACAATGGTTAAGCACTGCCCTGCTAACTGAAAGCTCAGCTCTTTGAACCATGGGAAGAACCACCTGGCTATCTGTCCCCATAAGGAGTACAACCCTGGAAACCTTGTGGGGTGGAGGGGAGCCACTCTCCTCTGCCCTAGAAGCATCAACACACAGCAAAGTCCAGTCCATGTATATATATCTTAAAATGGCAAGACTGGCCAGCTCTGTAATCCAGAACAGGTATGAGTCAAGTGTTGTACACCCCGCAGAGTAGCGCAGTATAGAGTTTATAGGTCGTAACACAGATGAATCTGTAGCAAAAATCCCAAGTCTGTGTGGGATTCATAAATTCTGACTTTGAGGTTGCATCTTGGCACATAAGAGGGTATCGAATGAGAGAGGAGTACTACTTCCACATACGTTTCTTTTTGAGAAATTCTGAAGGTGCACAGGAGCTCGGCACGTTTGCACACATATTTGTGTGAAATGCCGCCCAATTTCAACAATGCTCTCCTGACTTTGGTGACTGGCTGGGGCAGGAATGGGGCGATGCTGGGGGAGCCGAGGAGTGTTGCTCCAACAGTAACTGGGTCCTGCTGATGCTTTCCAGCGTCAGGTGAGAGTTTCTATAGCAAATGTGTCTTCCAGCCAGTCGTTCATCCAGGAAATATTGCATGACATGGACTACCATCTCCACGGTCTCCCCACCTCCTCCCTTGGGGTCCCTGTTTCCTTTTGTCCAATTTCCCTGCCCCTTCCCACCTCCTCCCTGCCCCTTCCCACCTCCTCGTGCTTGGCCTTGGGCACATGGTGCCCTTCTGGTCTCATTGTTAATGGTTCTATGGAGCAACTTCTACATGGGGTCGTTGTTGGTTTCATAGTCTTGTCTATTATTTGCTCCTCCGGGGTGTTTGTTTTCAGTTCTAGTTAGAAGGTTGCCTCTGGGCAATAGTCTTGGGCGCTCCTCCAATCTCTGTCAGCTCTTTCTGACAAGCAGGGTTTTTTGTTTTGTTTTGTTTTTACTTTCAATTCAAATTTTGTTCTATATTTTCAGCCATTCTCCTAGAGACCTTTTGTGTGGTCTTCTGTGACAGCCAGGCACTGTCTTGGTCTTCTGGTCTCAGGCTGGAGCAGGCCACGGTCCCTGTGAGCCCGTAGTCCTAGGGAATGAGTACGTCTTTGAGTCTGTGGTCTTCTTCGCTCTTCTCTGCTCCAGGCGGGAAGAGCCACTCACACACTTTTTTGGACATTCACCAAATCGTAGACTTCATTTCATCTCAGGGATGGAGATTCTCTCTATGCAACAACATTTACCTGTGCCTCTCTATGTGTCCTACTTCCATTCCATGCAGCTTCCCATCCCTTCTTAAGACCCCCGCAGCTACTCACCAGACTAGGATATAGAGCATTATCTTTATGGTCTAGATGTCCCTCTCCCCGCTGTGAACTTGGGTCACCGTATGTTCCTAAAGTTTAAGTTTGTATCGAGTGTCATTTGTAGCCCCCCAACTCTGCACTGTCCTGGCCTTCAGGTGGCCCTGCTGAGGCTGTGTGCTGGCTGGTGGGCCTAAAATAGGATGTGTTTGTACACAGAAACTGGGCCGGCAAATGCCCCGTCTCCAGTGTGATTTCAGCCTTGTATTTGGTGCCTCAATCAAACTATCACTAACGTCCATCCCTCAGTAAATAGGACCATGCTGCACCTGTGGGCGTTCATGGGCTGTGAGAGCGACCACCCATTCCTCAGAGAATGCCCACTTCTGTCATGGTGACAGTGCCGTCTTACTCTCTCCCTGGGGCCCTGGCACACACACTGAGCAGTGTAAAGACTTGGAGATGAGGGCGTCTCTGACCCCCACAGTGCGGTCCGGCCAGCGGCAGCACAGTCTCATTTCCGGGCCCCCTTGATGCGCCATGCCTGGGCTCTGGGTGAGTCTGATGAGACCCTGTGTTGCTGAAGGTCGGGAAAAGTGGAAACATACCAGCAGGCACCACCGTGGACACGAAGATTACCCACCCGACCGAGTTCGACTTCTACCTGTGCAGCCACGCCGGCATCCAGGTAAGGGTGGGGCTCCCCTTCCCTCTGGTCAGGGCCCAGGGTCTCTGTCCTGTTGTCTTCACGTTCCGCAAACTCCTGGTGAGCACAGACCACATGCGGTCCCTGAAGACGTCGTGGTGGATGGTGCAGGTGAAGCTGCAGCCCCCCACCAAGTTGACCTTCCAGCTCAAAGAGATACTGCCCAACCAACAAGCAAGTCTTCTGGACAAGATCTCCTTGCTGCCCATGGATGGTCTAGGGCCTTCCCATAGGGTCAGACACTGAACAGGGCAGGGAGACATGGCAGAACGGCTACCAGAGGTTGGGCAGCACCAGGTCCATGTGCAGTCTCTGTATGTGGCCTTCAGATGACCAAAAACACGTAAAAGAATACAGCCCTCATGTTCAGACACCCATTTTATAACGATGATCAGAAACACAGAATTATTACTGGAGAAGGAACCCTAGTGGCATTGTAGGTTAAGCACTGGGCTGCTAACCACAAGTTCAGCAGTTCAAAACTCACCAGCCACTCCACAGGCGAAAGATGAGGCTGTCTGCTCCTCTACACGTTTACAGTCTTGGGAACTCTGTCAAGGTTTACTGTGCGTTGGATTGGTGGCAATGGCTTGATTCTTAGCGATTGTTTTTTCCTTACCTTTAGAGATGAAGCATCAATTCTGACTCGTAACAACTCTGTAGAGAGCAGACAAGCTCAGCTTCCTCCCTGGGCGCAGCTGGTGGGTTTTGAACCACCAGCCTTGTAGTTAGAAGCTCAGTGCTTCCACTGCATCCCCAGGGCCCTTTAACACATCACAGTGAACATCCTCAAAACAAGTCCCCATGGCCTGTTACCTGCCAGACATGGGCCACTTGGTGTGCACGTGTGTGCTTGAGCTGACGCTCTGCTACGCTTCCAGGGGACGAGCCGGCCCTCCCACTACCACGTGCTGTGGGATGACAATCGCTTCTCCTCCGACGAACTTCAGATCCTGACCTACCAGCTGTGTCACACCTATGTGCGCTGCACGCGCTCTGTGTCCATCCCCGCGCCAGCCTACTACGCTCACCTGGTGGCCTTCCGGGCCAGGTACCACCTGGTGGACAAGGAACACGACAGGTGAGTGACTGGCTGAGTGTCGAGTTTCCGCTCGTGAGTTGGTGGCTTGGCAGCGTGCTAAAGGCTGCACCCTTTTCTGTGTGTCCCTGCAGTGCTGAAGGAAGCCATACCTCCGGGCAGAGCAACGGCCGCGACCATCAGGCCCTGGCGAAGGCCGTCCAGGTCCACCAGGACACACTGCGCACCATGTACTTTGCTTGACATGGTTTAGTGTTGAGCGACTGTGTACCGAGTTGGATTCACACGAGACCAGCTACACTCAGACCAACAGACGCCCAGCCCTTCCGAGACAGCCAGCTTTGAAACATGAAATGTCCTTTATTTGACCAGATTCGCCGGTGTCCCAGAATGCCTTTCGTCCCAGATTTCAAACTCGAATTCTGAACTGCAGACCTGTATGAGACCCGCCCCCACCCCACACTGTCGTAGGAAATATGGTTTGCCAAAATCTATAAGCTGCTTATTAAAAATAGAAGTTCCGTGTTTCCTAAAAAAGAAAAAGGAAGAAAAGGAAAAAAAAAAAAAAAAAAAAGAAAGTAAGAAAGTTCTCCTAAAACCAATCTACGAACTCAGGGCTTAACAACATTTTTAATTTATTTGGTCATTCGATTTACTTGTTTTTAACACATGGTTCTCTGTGAAACGGATGGGCTCAAACTAGCTGCGAGCGTGAAAGGTTTCAAAGCCGCCAGCTTCCTAGTGTTGTCACGGGAGCTGAGCTCTAAGTGGCCCTGGTGGGTCCCCCGGGACCCGGCAGGGAGCTGTGCCGTGGCGTGACCACAGGTGACTCAGTCCTGCCATGGTCTTCCTCTGACTCCGCTCGAGGTAAGCAGTGGCAGGAGACAGGCTGCGTGTGTTTACAGCATTGCTAGGTCCAGAGAGATTGGCAGACAAGTGCCATTTTAATAAAAGTTTATTTAAAGGAAAAGAGAGACAGTATACCGACAGTCTAATCGTAAGGTTTGTCCTCTAGGACTGACATTTATTTTCCAAAGTTTCTAAAGAATACGGGTCTGTGGTGATAAATACAGTACAATCCTTCTTCACTCTTAATGTCTTCAATGTTAGAGAGAGGAAAACTATATATCTGATTTGCAGTATTAATGTGATAGGTAGATGCTGTTAGTTTTGGTTTGTCGTGTTTTTTGTTTTTAATTTTATTTACTATGGGGTGCTTCTTGTGACCTGTTGACCTATCGAGTGTGTGGGGAGGGAGGGCCCTAGTGTTTATGGGCGGGGATATGCAATTGATGCCGCCACGGCGAAGCGTGTAACTTCACCCACCCCCATGTCCCTCTTGGCCCCCTTGGCCCTCGGCCCAGTCCAGCCCAAGTGGAGTTAATTTATCTTTCCATTGCCAGGAAATGAATTGGTTGGTGCGTGTGCGCGCCTGCCCCTCTGTGCGTGCTGGTAGAAATGTATCATAGGACCCAGACACTGAAAGTGTGTAGCAAGACGAGGACGTTGCCTTTCTGGGAGGGACGGGGGGGGTGGGGGGATAGCCGTTGGCAGCGGGGCCCTGACCCGAGGAAGGCAGGACACCTGTGTTAGGATTCGCTTTCTGGGCCCCAGGTGTGGGTTTGCCAATCTGTAAACCATTGCACTGATAGTAGACAACTCAGAAAAGACAACAGAAGACAAAGCTGTGTTTGTACCCATTGGGCTTCTCTTGGTCCTTGTACACTATTTTCCTAAGATTCCAAACCAGGCTGCGCTCCAGGGGGCAAAGACCCCCTTCCCCATTAGTGCTGCTTTGTGCTCTCCAGGTTCCCCCTGCCCCCGCTGGGGGCCCCACCACGCGATGTGTACCTCTGGCCCTGTGTGGAGGTGGGGGGGGCATGGGCACCTCCTACTGGTGCAGACGCCCCGGTCTGTCCTCACTGGTGGGATGGGGCCGGGAGTCATAGGTGACAAAAGAATGACAATGGTTTATGATGCTGTATTCTCAGAGTAGGTGTGTGCCTGTGTGCGTGGCGATGTCTCACCGATGGTATCAGTCTCTTCTTGGTGTGTCTTTGTAACAAAGCTGTGGTCTTTTTGGATGGCAAGCCTTCACTCTAAGAAAACTCACGCTGCCCTGTCGCTCTGCGTCAGGTGGCACTTGCTCCTCTCCTCAGACGGACACACACACATACACACACATACACACACACACACACACCCTTGGCCTGAGTTATGAGGAGGAGTCAACTGAGAGGAAGGGAGTGTTCTTCATGATAAACTTTCCAAGTCTGAAATTAGGCTCATTGTCAGCCATGTTTAGAATCATCTAGAACTACATGTTTCAAAGGATGTGATGAATCCACTGCCTGCAATGAGTGTGTGTGTTAAAGATCCAGGTCCTGGGCCCCTTGTGGTCCAAGGCCCGCCCAGGTCAGAGGACCTGGCTGAAGAAACCAGTGGTCTCACAGGTTTTCAGAGAGCCCTGTTCAGGCTCCGAGGGATGGGGTGCCATTGTTGGGTGATGTTTTCCAAACCTGAGGAAGACAGGGCTGGTGGAAAATGAGACCTACCTAGATTTTATTTTTTTAAATAACTTTAAAGGGAAAGTTTTCTTGTAGGTGGTCCACAGAACTTGGGGAAGGGTACTTGCCGAATTTCCCTAGTCAAGACCTGAGCAGACCAGAGGTCTCCAGATGGGTTTGTGCACACATTCGATCGCTTCTGATGGCTCCGAATGCAAATGCCTGTAATCACAGTTTCTCAGGTAAATAATTGTTCTCCCCAAACTCTTATCAACCCCCACACCATTGGGATTTATGTTCCCATAATGAAGGAAAACCACCAAACTGAGGCTTTTCTCCCTAAATTTGGAGACCACGTAAGACCTCAAAGTACAGTGGGGTATACCCCTCACCCCCAACTTCTGTTTCCAGCTGCCCCTCTACAATGGAGGGCTACCCAATGCCCCCCACCCCCACCCCCGCATGGCACCACCCTGTTTGGTCTCCCAAGGTGCCGGGCCGTTCGGATTTAAGGGAGTCCTCTCCCTAGCTCAGTCTCCCACCCCACTGTTAAAGTAAGGTGTGCCTTGCTTAAAGCAAACTGAATGTGAAAATCGTGGTTTCAGAAATCTGAGTTTATTTGCAAGAAAAATTGGGATTTATCTCATCCAGTTCCATTCCTATGCTGGGACTCTCACTCCCAATGAAACTGTTGTCATCAACTCTCCTAATATTTTTTCAAAGACTCAGTTTTTAAACAAATTAACGGCACCCCATCCTCTCTCCCCAAACTATCACTCTAGGCAGGTTCTCCCTGGAGTAAGTAAATGATGAAAACCCAGGGGAGCCATTTCAAGCCACCATTTTGTACAAGAGCCATTGGTGATGTTAAGATACCATCCTGTTATTTGTGTGAGTTATAAATGCAGGCTCTTAGTTCTATAGAGAATTAATTTTTTTAAAAAACTGGACATGCCCATACTTTTGGGAAGAGGTTGCTTGGTTTTGGTTTGTGTGTGTTTGCTGCTTGAAGAAGTCTTTTGCATGTTCACGTCTGATTCTCCATTTTAGGGTCTGCAGCTCCCTTTCAAGGTTGTGTTGCTTTCTGGAAGGATTCTCCCGCTCCCTCCAGAAGGTTTCGCCTGCAGAATGAATGTCTGAGCTCTAGAATGCTTGTGTGTGGGCAGCCCCTGTACCAGGCTGGCCAGTGTTTACCCCAGACTAGTGACCGTTCATTACAAAGGACACTGTGAGTTCGGTTCCTGCCGCAGGGATGAGGTTAGGGGACGGGGCCATCTTGTTGCTCTGTTATTTTTATGGTTGTGACATGCAAGCGTTGCTATTTATTTGGTCCTTGTCTGCCCCGTTTGATCTGGACTCTGTGGGTGTGGCTTGGCCCCCCCACCCCCACCCCCTCGCATGTGGTACCTAGTGGATATGACCAGACTTCTTTCCCCAGCTTTTGTACCTCACCTAATGTGTACCTTCAAGTTTGCCAGATGCTTTATTTTTTGAGAACCATAGAAGTAAATTTTTCTGAATGAAATGTGCTTTTTTCTTTTTCTTAGCTATGCAGGAATGTGACTTTTGCATTGGTGTGCGAGTGATTTAAATTTTATTTTTACAAGGCCGTTTTTCAGCCAGATTCTATATTTGATACAAGATGTTAAGGGTAGACCAGCCAAGCGTTGCGCGGTGGAGAGCGAGGCATTTGGGGCCGGGAGGCGGCCTCTCTCGAGATGGCGTGCGGTCAGTTTCTCGGTGTTATCAGAACCCGAGTGACTCTGATCTGATGGTTAGTTGAAAGGATTTTTGTGGGCATTTTCCTAACCCTCCAGCGATTCCATGAGTGTTGGTGTCGTCACCGACAGTGGGTAATCCCAGTGGCCCTGACAAGCCATAAGCCATTGGTCTGTGACTTCTCATGACTCACAAGGAAAGGGATGTACAATAAAGTAGAAACTCCCTCAGTGTTCTGCACCTTGCTTTTCAGGATGCAAATGTTTTATTTATATTCTGAGTCCTCCCTCCCCACCCCACCCTATGCCACCCAAAACGTGGCTTTCGAAAGGCAGGCGTCTGTCTGTATGCGCTGACACCATATTTTGTAAGGAAATTTTTCAACTGAAAACAATTGCACTGATTTTTTTTTTTTTTTTTTTTTTTTGCCATCTTCCTTTATCTTATGCCCAACTTTGCATCTGCTGTACTTGTCTGACAAGATTGCCAATAGGTTCGTGGCAGCAGAGATGACGTGAACACAACACCTTGCTTTGTTTTGGCAAAATTACCCCGGTTTTCAGTATTATGTGTAGAGTCGCGTGAACTGGGCTCTGTTGCTTTCCCCAGTTCACGTCTGTCTACCATTCATGAAGGACAAACTAGACTTGCTTTCTCATTGTTCCGAAAGGACAATTCCAGCCTGGTTTTACTATGCTCTCACCCTTCAAGACCTGACCATTTTAACTTTCCAGAGGCATTACTGTAAACACTCTGAACACTTTTTGGTCTGCTTGCCTGTTGCATCGAATTGACCCTGACTCATTGTGACCCTGTGGAACAGAGTGGAGCTGCCCTAGGAGGCTTCCAAGTCTAGCTTCTTGCAGAAACAGACTGCCACCTCTTTTTCTGTTTAAACCGTTGACCTTTCGGTTAGCAGCTGAGTGCTTAACCCACAGAACGACCCGGGCTCCGTTGGTCTGCTTAGATCCTTGTTACTCGACCCGGCTCCCAAAAGTGTCTTCTACATCTGGCCAGAGAACGGGTGTGAGGATACCTCTTGCTTCTTCTCTCTGATCAGTTGCCCTTGTAAAACCTTGAGGTCATTGTTGTGCCCAGTATGGGCCTTGTGTCTTCACACATAGATGCAAGCGAGTCCCGAAAAAACAGGGCGGTGCCTATGCACCTCGTGATTTTGCTTGCTGTCTGCCCTTCACTGCGCTCCAGCCCCACGTGTCATTTCTTTGTGGTTGTGTTCCGAGTGTGCAGAGCAGAAGAACTTGTGAATCCTAACCTATCGCCTGTTTTCGTGTCTTGCTGCCGCCATTGTGG